ATTAATAAAAATATTTTTCTCATTTCATATATCAGTGGTTAGACATGAAAGATGAAAGAGACGAGAGAGAGAGAGAGAGAGAGAGAGATGTAGTGAGCAAAATAAATATTACATCAAAAATTCACTCCGAACAAAAAACTACTACGGTAAAACAAAATATAATTTACTAGTTGCAAGTGTGTGAATCAATAATAGAGTGGCACTGGGAGGGAGGGCGGGTCGCACTGTTTATTTAGTTTACATTTCTAAAAAATAAAAGTTACGCTTACAAATACATATTTTAATAATATAATATATATATACTGTGCTAGGCGATATATTCCGTTTGTGTATAACTAATCGCAAATCCATTTACGTATAAAATCAATAATCAAATGCACTTTTTATTGTCTCCGAGTGTTTACGAGAGTAGGAAACTATAATAAATAACATTATATTATATTTATATTTAAATGAGATTTGCTTTCACTGTCTGTTGGCAGCGAAGAATGTCGTGTTTATTGTATGAAAATACCTGTATTTTCTATGATTATGTAGTTTTTTAGGAGGGCTAGTAGCTCCCAATAGACATGTGTACTCTATTAACGCAAACGTTTTTTTCATATGAAACATACATTTCAAATAAGAGACACAAAACTCATCGAAATATATCCGAAAAAATGAAATATAATTTTCATTCAATAACTCAACGCATGAAAGCATGAAAGCATAAAATTACCAAAAAATTACATTTTCTTACTTAATATCGCAACAAATATGTCTCAGAAAAGTCAAAAAGTTTTTGAACAGATTTTTTTGGCCATCAATTCAGTGATACAAAGCATTTGAAAAATTATAACTGATATAGAAAAGCACTTTTCTAAAAGTAGTTTTGTATAACACGAATTGAAAATTATTTTTTGTATTTTATTTGTTGAATATTTAAGTAGTATGTAGTTAAGTATTTTTATTAATAATAAAATTGTGATTTAAATACGAAATGCTATTTAAACTTCATTTTCACGTCAATCATCATTAATTAACGAGATTTTTATCGCAAAACCCAATCAATTAAGTCACAAATGTTTAACACATTATTTATCAAACATTTACTTAACTTTATCTTATATTTAGATCTCAAATAATTGGTGCCAAAAAATATAATTAAATTTCTGTGCATTTATGTAAATATTAACCAAATATAAGTATTACAGAAAATGAACCATGATATTCAATTAACAATGAAATCAAATTATTAATTATTTGTATATTCATTAGATGTGAAAAGCAAAAAAAAATATAATAGATAAATTCACTATCAATACTAAACTTGGGTTTAATTTATGAAAATTAATTCGCTATAAAAAAGGGATTTAATATCAACTTTCAATTTCAGATCATTCAGATTACTCCCCGGTTTTAATCAATCAATAAATTATACTTTGTTTTATTTTTCACACACAAAACCTTTTCACTCAACCATTCATTTGCTATCCAAATGGACTTTTTGTTCCTAAAATACTTAATTTTCGCATTCAATACATCGTTGCCATTGAAAAAAACACTTGAGACACACAAACAAAACAAACAAAAAAGTAATCGAAAGTAAACCTAAATCTCCATATAATTAAAGAATTGAATCATTATATTAATGGATTGTCTGCGATGGCTGTAAATTATTAAGACTAGTGACAGATATATAATTATGAGCAGCCCTTCCACACACAGGCTTTCCATAGCCTGTGCCCATACACACCAAACGCCGTGAATATAAATTCTGGTGAAAATCTCGGCGTCCATTAGACACTCATTGGTCCGCAAAATTTATTGTCTATAATCACAAACTCATTGAATAAATAAAAAAATTACAAAATTGAGACTCAAATGATGGGCTGATGATAGCGAAGGGATTTCTTTTTTTCGCTGGGTTCATGTTTGCCATCAAAGGCAACAAAATATTGTTTTTCAATACCTTAAATAAAAAGGAGTTTTTGAAAATGAGATTCACTTTTTCGATACTACACTATAATTCTCTGTACATCAGGTTTAATCAGTTTTTAATTACTTATACCCTCTTTCTCGACATTATCGGTCATTATATGGCAATACGAGAGTTGTTTTCCAGATTAATAAAGAGATTGTGTATTAAATCTGGGAATTAATATCTCTCGCAGTTGTCTCACAAAATACTTTAAACCTTATATTAATTACTAAAATTAATTTAATATAACATTTAATATGCCCTCAAATCGATAACTGTTTGCATACACACAACACAACAAACCTTTGCTAAAATGAGATTTGAATTTAATTTTTGTTTAGTTTTTCATTTGATAAATGATTGAAACAATTATTTTTGAATCATTTATATAAGACTTATGTATCATTCATAAGCCAAACGAAGTTTCCATAAAATATTTTCCTATTATATGACATTCAAAGGCTCAGCAACTCTTGTATGACTTAAACACACGTCTAATGAGTTATAAATTGTATTAATGGTAATAAAGAGCAACAAATTATTGCCTAATTGTTAGACTAAGAGATCATCAGTAATGCTATTAATGACACATAAAAAGCAAAGAAAATTGTTGACAATTATTGAAATCTTATAAACGAAATGAATTATATATTTCCATCATTTGAGTTGAGATTTTTGTGGTAATTATTGTCGTATTTTATAATTAGAGCTCAAAATTCATTTCACAGTTCCGTTAAAACTATTTCGACAATTGATTAATGATTTGCTGTTTTGTTGCAAAACCAAACTCTAAGACCTAAACAATTGACAAATTGTTAAATAAATTTTTGGTTAATAAGAATTAGCGACAATTGAGTGAAACATTGATTTTTCATACAGTATTTCATGCATAATCTCGGGGCAAACAAATTATAATCAAACTTTGTATGATTGCATAATCTCTCATAATTAATTCATTAATTTTTTAATTAAACTCTAATTTTATCGCAAAAAGTAAAGCAGAAAATTAATTTAAAATTCAGATTATTTGATACAAAAATTCCAAAAATACTTTACATCTCTCTCTCTCTCTCTCTCTCTCTCTCTCTCACACACACACACACACACACACACTCACTCCCCTCCCTCCCTGGCCTACAGCCATAGAGTAGTACTACGACCGCAACTCTGGTGGCGTAGATTAACACCGATTTAATTATCATTTGAAACCATTATTATAAGCGTTGGTTAAGCAAAATGAGAGAAAACTTAAAAACTCTTTGGGTTTTCAAAAACTCAATGAGAAAAAGATGCAAATAATGAAAAGTTCAAAAAACTTCTCCACACACAGAGAAAACTAGTTATTTAGCCACTGATTGGGTATTATATTATTACATAATGTATCAGTGCAAATGCTTTTTAAATTTAATTGTTTGGATAGTCAGTGAGTGAACGGCGAGAGAGAGAGAGAGAGAGATTTTACAATACTTATTCCCACAAATAAACTAAACCGTAATTTAAGAAAATAAAAATAACAGATTTTTGAATGAAATTACATTTGAATGTCTAATATATGAATAATAGGCGACCGTTTAGGTAGACGTCCCTCTGATTTATAATGGATGCGAATCGCACGCGTATGTTGTGTTGCACCAGAATATTCATATACATATACTATGATATATGTATAAAGTGCTGTATATTCATAAACTGGACATAAAAAATAAGTGCATAAAAAACTACCCAATATTCTGCATGTGTTGGCATAAAAAAGTTTGTAGTCTTTCCCTTATACTTGAATACCAGGTGTGCTGTTGTGTGTGTTAACTGAGCGCCCAATGAATCGGTTGTCGTCCGGGGACTGACTGACTGTATGTATGTTATACTGAATGAGACTTTCATTTCTCGACTCCACTGTCAGAATATCATAATATAGTAGATATGCATAACATATAAATACATATGAATTCTGTATTAAAAAAACAAAACTCTATTGAATCCCGTAGTGAATGAGTAGTCGGAGACATAAATAGGGCTAATGTTTGACATAAATAACAATACGAGATGTGAGAGACAACTCTTTTTCGGCGACATTCGTCATCCCTTTCCACACTCGGACTACAGACACCTGGCATTCAGTCGTATATTTCACTCCAGTATTGTTTAGAGTGATTCACACAACTGATAGCCACATCTCTCTCTCTCTCTCTCTCTCTCTCTCTCTCTCTCTCCATACAGTAGTCCATGTAATTGTCTTTTCCATACCTTTCCGCACAAAACAAGACATGACATACAGATTATTATTACATTTTTTACGATTTGTATTGAATTTCGGGTGACTTTTGTATTTTTGTATTGACTTTCCATTTGTTGCAAAAACTACTGACAATTTTTCAGCGCTTTATGTATTTATTGCCACTTTTTTGTGTAAACTTTTTGATTCTTATCCAACAAAATATGGTTTTGGAGTCAAAAACAAATTCGCAAACATTTTTCAGTTGGTTTTGAAAAGTGTGTGCATTTGATATCAAACGACAAAAATCGGTAAAAAAATTTGAAATATTATATTCAGACACAACTGAAGGGGAAAATAAGTGAAATATTTGCACATTTTCGGGGGTGGGGGCTGTGAGGGGGAAAGGGAGACAAAAGCGTGACATTAAATATTGAAGTCTTAGTTCATAAGACTTACAAATATTGTGAAAAAATATTTTTACAAAAAACATGCATTTTTGTTTGTGATCTACACTACAAACTAAAAATATTGCATTAAAAACTATACAGTATATTTATTTACCATTAAATTGAAATGTTTAACAAATTATCCAAAAAAATAAATTTTTATTATTTAATAAGTTTTAATTATTAAAATTTTTACTTATAATAAGCATTCAATGAATACAATGAGAAACTTTACAAACTTTACAACAAATCACTATTTAATACAAAACACAATGAGATATGTATTGACAGATAACTGACACACAAACGGATGACTGACTACCACCTCAAGACATATGGGGACCGATGATCATCACCACTGCCACCACCACTGATCGCCTCAAGAGTTCTCATTCTCCTGAGCGCCACAATTAAGGCACGTATAGAAGACAGTCTGTCCCTCATCTGCGGATCTGGTCTGCAAAGTGGCGAAAGTCTGTCTCTCGTGTCCACACTTCTGGCACTTCCGCTCGACTACTGGTCCCTGACTTTGCGACCCACGGGTGGCTTCCGTCGAGCCCTTATTGATGAGTGATTTGGTGTTGAAGACAATCCGTGTGGTGGCGGCCACGCCGTGGAAGCGCTTGGCGTCCACCACGTGCTCACACGCGTGGCATCGGATCTCTTTGACCACATCCATGGACAGCGGCAGTGGAAGAATGGATCCGCACTTCTCGCAGAACTCGGTCACTGATTGAGACATTTGGCGATGAGTTTGTGGTGAATTGGTGTGATCAGGGTCACAAATATCACTGATTTTGTGGTTTCAAATAATGTGCTAGCTACACAAAAACGTCGTCAAAATAGTGGCAAAACATATGCCAATAGTGTATTGCAAAGCAAATTACGTTACATTCATATAAGGCTTACATAATAACGTCGACCAGTTTGAGGGGAGGGTAGGCTCTACAGAGTTTGTGTTGAATAAACTTGCATACCTGTCCCAAAAAAGTTGTGTATGTTTAAATTCAATATTAGTTTGTAATAGGCAATTGATTTTAAATTTTAAATTGTTTTTCTCATAAATAAGCGTTTAATTGAAAAAATGAAAATCAATTAGCGATCGGATAATAACTGTTTCCGATTTAAGCGACAAAACAATTATTGAATAAAAATCTATCAAAAAGTCATTCAAAAAACTTAATGATAGGAATCGGAGAGATTTTATTGTGATTTTATGTGTTGAGAGAGAGAGAGAGAGAGAGAGCGAGAGAGAGAGCGAGAGAGAGAGAGAGCGAGAGAGAGAGAGAGAGAGCGAGAGAGAGAACTGCAACACAGTATATACAGTATCACAAGGAATTAATTAATAGCAAACAAATTAATGAAAAGACTCAATCATTTCAAGTGAATTAAATTATAAAACAGTAGTGAATCAAAGTTTTCATTAGTTTTGATTGCAATGAGAAAATATTAATTAATGCCAAAAATAATTGCAAAACTTGAAAACTACTGAACAAAACATATTGCTTAGTAAAACATGATTTTTTTGTGTTTGTGTCAAGTTTTTTGATTATAAACAAATAATTTATGGCAAATATTTTGTTGCCTGAAAATATGCTCACAATTATGTTAAAACATACACTGTATGTCATACAGTGTATAGAAAATATTCATTTAATTTTGTTATTTGTGAATAATTTTAATGCATGAATACTACTGATTAAAATTCTGTTCAAAATACTTATTATAAATTAGTGACAAAAACTTCTAAAGTAATTATAATAATAAAATATTTTTACCAATTATTGTTAGACAAAGTTAGTTATCCGTAAAATAATCTTAATTTCATTAAAATATTCAAAAAATATTTGTAGTCTTCACAAAACACAAAATTCTTGCTATTTATTCATTATTTATAACAAAAATTTCAAACAACAAAAACCAAAATTACAAAAATATTTTTAGCTTTTCAACAAAACTGAGACATCATTACGAGTGTAATTAATTTCACTCAAATATTAATTAAAAATAGTCCTTAATCTTACGATCCTGTATCATTTTTAATATATATGTTTATAACAGATGCAATGGTTGGTCACATTTCTGGGTGTAGTACTGCTTGGTGTGGACATCGGCCTCATTGTCGGCGTTATATTCTCCATAATATTAGTACTCTTAAGGTTTACGATGTAAGTCATGTTTGCCTATCAGTCAGTATTTTCTTATTATATTAATACATGTTTTTCTACTCAACTAAACAATACAATTATTTTTACAATCAAACGTATAGTATATTTCATTTAGTACTGTATAAAGTAGTATACGATTATTGTTTACACACTTGTGTCTAATAATTCTCTCTCTCTCTCTCTCTCTCTCTCTCTCTCACTCTCTCACTCTATCTAATTTATATTGTACAGTATTCCTTATATTTATACACAAATATTATATACATTTTCAGCCCAAAGTCCACAATCAATGGACAGTTGCCTTTCAGTGAGATTTATGTGGATTGCGATGAATTCTCTGAAGCAAAACAAATACCGGGAATAAAAATATTTCAATTTCATTGTCCGCTCTTTTTCATGAATTCGCAAAACTTTAAGACAAATCTGTATAAAAAAGCGTTGAATATATCAAAGTATGTATCCATACATCAAATGCAAACAAATCCCATGAAATATAAAATCCTTTAAAAACACACAAAATACTAAAACAATTTCTAAATAAACATGAAATAATAGAAAATCTTTTTCTATTTGTTTTTCGTCGATACCATTCAGTAATGAAAGCGAGAGATTACATGAGGAGAAGCCAAGTGTTCACACAATTGTTTTGGACTTTTCGTCCATATTTTTCATCGACAGCACCGGCGTTGAGACGGTTGTCGAGTGTATCGAAGAAATGGATGAGTTTCACATCAAAGTGATTATCTGCCAGTGCTCTCAGTCTGTGATAGAAATGCTGGACAAATGCAAGTTCTTCGCCAAACTACTGTCCCCTCATATCTGTGCCACCGTTCACGACGCGGTCGTACAAAATGACACAACTATTGCCTGATATTATCATATGTTTTAGATTACATTATTTAATTAACATATTTTTAATTATAGTAATTATTTTTTCAATTGTATTTATATTTGACATCTCACTTTTATATACCAGAGTCATTACAATTGATACTTGGTTATAATCCCTTTCATACATTGTTTTATTAGAATTTTTAGCCAAAAATCTATTTATTATAGAGAATATTCTTAAATATATTGTTGAATTTATTAAATAATTCTGTTAAAATTATTATATAGAATTAGGTTTAATGAAAATAATATATATTTTATAAATATATTTATATAGTATCATTATTATATAATAAAATAACCAATTGAAGTTAAAGACTAATTTATTAAAATTACATATCCAATAAATAAATTTAACCTTAATTCATAAATTGTGTACTAGGCCATTATAATTTAAATTTTAAACATATATTTTTATAAATAAATTACTATTAATAAAATATCGAAAATCTATTTAATTTTTAATACTAAATGAGTTGCGTGAATGGGAAATACTACCAGTCCTGTCAATACATATCTACTATATTATGATATTCTGACAGTGGAGTCGAGAAATGAAAGTCTCATTCAGTATAGCATACATACAGTCAGTCAGTCCCCGGACGACAACCGATTCATTGGGCGCTCAGTTAACACACAACAGCACACCTGGTATTCAAGTGTAAGGGAAAGACTACAAACTTTTTTATAGAGAATTTAATTATCTTTCAAATGGTGTATCACTCGTTAAGGTCAGAATTATATTTCTTGATTTATTATTAATATAATTAAATTTATATTAATCACAGTTACATAATTGGATTCAATGGCATAACTCAACATTAACATAAATTTAATTATATTAATAATAAATCAAGAAATATAATTCTGACCTTAACGAGTGATACACCATTTGAAAGATAATTAAATTCTCTATCTTTGAGCAATGGAACACTTTTACCTAGCTACTATTTTATTGTTAGTAAATTTCCCATTGAGATTTACATAGAGATTCTTGATTGTCAAAAGTAAGTTGTGATTGAACCATATGTCGGAGCTGAGAGATCTCGATGCCATATGAAAGTTCATACCTTCCTCTATAAAATTGCAATAGATTGTATTTATCTTGCTCATATTGTTCATACTATAACTCATGTCTGCAAGAGTGTCCATAGAAATAACATTAATATAAGTCGTACCTGGCTGATCAGTATGTCAAAAAAATTGCTATACTTTCCTGTTTTAAACACCGTTTACAGTGTTTTGATATCTCATGTAGTTTTGAAATGATAAACATTTAGAATCGCGAGCTATATTTGGAACACACGGGTATTACACAAATTTCTAGTGAAATACGCCAACAGGAATGTCTATAAAACAAATATTTAAATTTCAAAATCTAATTATAATGTTCTTAAAGATTTTTAATATGTTTTTAAGACATAATTAACCAAAAGTTTACGTTAACAGCCAGATTTAAAGTTTAGTTAAGAATAGGAGTATTTGTTTGAGACAATCTTATAATTATGCCACGTTTTAGGTTTATTTATTTATTTAAAACTGATATTTAGAGTTAACCTCAATATTTTGGCGACTTAATGGTTACATAAACAGTTTGCAAATGAATACCTAAATTGTTACACAAGTTTCTAATTTAAACACGGCAATTGTTTTTAAATAATTAACAAATTTCACGAAATACTTAAAGTATGAATAATATTTCTCTAAAATAATAAACAT